GTTGGTGAGAAGGGCAGGGGTTGGATGCCGCGTTCCGTCACAACATACACCAAACATTCAATGTAAGTGAATCAGTCACTGTAATGTAACACACATTCCCCAGGAAGATACATCTGCAGCTTTATAAATATGCCCCTTGATGTCAGTGTGAGCACGGGCGGACTGACCATTTGGAAACTTGGGTACTGCCTGAGGGCCCGGGTCAGTAGGGGGCCCCATGAGATGCCCCTGGTAACTTTTTCATATTCTTTTTTGAGTTTGGGCAAGGACACAGGGGCCCCATGATCCCTATTGCCCGGGGGCCCCATGAGTTGTCAGTCTGCCCCTGAAGTGTGAGTCTCTACCATCTTCTGCTTCTGTAATACAAAATATCTGTAAATGAAAGTAAGCAGTGCAGTATTTATTAGGACCAAATTTATAGGAAAGGAAAGACAAAAGAGGCTGCACACATCAACTACAGATGATCAAAACATGGACTGGCTGAAGTCATACTAATCAAAGAGGTTTCTGATTGGAACCCATTGCACCTCTTTTTGGGAGCGCACTGCAACAAACTAATGTCCATTGGAAGGTGTGCTTGGGTAACTAAACGTATTCTTGAAGCGGAGCTATACTCACCTTCTCTCCAGCACTGTGATGTCCTGGAGCTGGCCAGGCCAAGATGACATCACTCCCGCACGGTGTGCGAGGTCATTCATCTCCGAAATTCTATACTAAGCTGTTTGTGCAGAGGGCAGGTAACAGGTCTGGATCTAGCCTGTCTGATATGGGGGTGCAGTAAAAAACATCAGGGGGAGGGGATGCAAGGTCAACAAGGCAGTGTATAGAAGTCAATATGGCAGTGTACAGGGGGGTCAGCAGGCAGAGAGAGAGAAAGCAGTTCGTAGGGCAGAATACAGAGGTCATTCTAGTTTGTTTGGGCAGTTTACAGCGAGTTATCAAGGTCCGGAGTTTACAGGGTTAGCAGGGAAGTGTAAAGGGGGTCAGCAGGCAGAGGATGAAGGTCAGCAGGAGAGGGTACAAGAGTCAGTAGGGCAGTTTTCAGGCGGTCAGTAAGGCAAAAAAAAAGGGTCAGCAGGGCAGAGGATGGTTGATAAGCAGGAGAGTGTACAGGAGTCAGTGAGGCAGTATACAAGGGGTTTCTGTAGGGTGCAGGATAGGGGTCAGCAGGGCAGAAAGAATTGGATAAGCAGGAGAGTGTACAAGAGTCAGTGGGGCAGTATACAAGGTGTTCTGTAGGGCGCAGGATAGGGGTCAGCAGGCAGAGGATGGGAGATAAGTAGGAGAGTGTACAAGAGTCAGTGGGGCAGTATACAAGGTATTCTGTAGGGCGCAGGATAGGGGTCAGCAGGGCAGAGGATTGGATAAGCAGGAGAGTGTACAAGAGTCAGTGGGGCAGTATACAAGGGGTTCTGTAGGGCGCAGGATAGGGGTCAGCAGGCAGAGGATGGGAGATAAGCAGGAGAGTGTACAAGAATCAGTGGGGCAGTATACAAGGGTTCAGTAGGGCAAAAGATAGGGGTAAGCAGGGCAAAGGACAGGGATCAACATACGAGATAACAGGGGTCAGCAGGGTGGGGTGGAGGGGGTTATCAGGGCAAAGACAGGGCAGTAAGGCAGAAGACAGGGCAAGTAGGGCAGAAAAAAGGGGGTCAGCTGGGCAAAAAGAAGGGGGTCAACAGGACAGTGCTCAGAAGGGCAGTGTGTGGGGGTCAGCAGGATGGAGGACAGGGGTCAGAAGGGCAGGGTACAGAAGGTCAGCAGGGTAGAGGACAGGGGTCAGAAGAGAAGAGGACAGGGTCAAAACTGCAACATAGCAGCCAGCTATACACTGCAGATTGAGGCTGTGTCTGAAAGGGAATCTGATCTCAACTATGTGCTGTGTGGGGAGGAGGACATCTATTGACTGCCTTGTGTGTGTTGTCAGGGACAAAGGTCATCTAGTCCCAGGGTGAAGATGACAAACCAAGCCCCTATGTTTGAGCATCCTGTCTCAGCATAAATCCCTCCCCCTGAAAAAAAATAGCACTAATCAGCACGCTCCCCCCCCAAGCATACTTTTGTCTGCAAGCCAAAATTCTCCCCAAAAAACAATGCAAAAACATCCTCCTCCTCCCAGTATAAACCCCCATCCCAGCACAATCTTCGCCCCCAATCCCACCTCCAATGCCCCAATACCTCCTCCTAGCACAAATCTACCTCACCAAAAATTACCCCTCCATGCACGCATCCACTTTCCCCTCAAATTTCCCATCCAAGCACAAATCTCCCAAAATTCTCCTTCTTAAAATAAATCCCCCCCATCCCCCCTCTTAACCAAATTTCTTCACCACCTCCCAGCACAAATCCCCCATTAATCACCCCACTCCTAGCACAAACCTCCCCAACCCCCCTTTCTAGCACAAATTCCCCCATCTAGCACAACCCCCCCCCCCCCCCCCGCTAATCGCGCTTCCTAGCACAAATCCCTCCGCTAATCCCCCCTTCTAGTACAAATCCCCCCCCCCCCCCCCCACAATCCCCATCCTCCAATCCCCTCCCTATGAAAAATTCCCTAAATTCTTACTTCTAGCACAACCCCCTCCCTGTCATATAGCAGATGACACAGATTCGATCTCCTCCAAGGACCTCTCATCCCCCAGCAGCAGCAGCAAATGTAGAAAGGGGGCGGGGTAATGAAACTGTTGTACAGCCCCATATGGTCAGAGCGATCCTGTGTCATCCGCTATATGGAGCACCGATGGTCAGAGCGATGTTCTGACAGGAGGAGGGGGCAGAGCACTGCACTGCACTGCAGCTCTCCTCCTTGCTCTCTCTTCTTCATCACTTTCTTAATTGCTCCAGGCTCCCTTTCCCTTGTCCCGGGAAGGGGGGGGGGTGGAGCTCAGCGGTCTGGGGGGCACAACTGAAATCTGGGGGGGTGCAGCCCACCCAAGCACCCCCCTAGATCCGGCCATGGCAGGTAACCAACTTTAATGCAGAAGAGACATTGTGGGGGTTATTTACTAGAGAGTGCAAAATCTGGTGCAGCTCCGCATTGAAACCAGTCAGCTTCCAGGTTTTATTGCCAAAGCATTAACTGAACAAGCTGAAACTGATTGGCTACCATGCACAGCTGCACCAGATTCTGACTGCACCAGTTTCAGTAAATCTACCCCTGTATGTCTCTTTTGCATTAAAAATTCTTCTGTTCATGATTTTTTTTTCAATTAACCGCTTAAGGACCACCCTATATCAGATATACTGCTATAGGGCGGCACCTGTGCACAGAATCACGTGTATATATATGTAATTTTGCAGTCCAGGTAGGGGGCGCACGCACCCCACCCAGGCTGCTATTCGCGGCCGCAGATGTCAATCACCAAGTCCCGGCCTGTAATTACCCGCTGGCGCCCAGTGATTACTGAACATCTCCGACAATGAGGAAGATTGTTTAGTTTACAAACGCTCTTCCTCCCTGTCAGCTCGAGCACACTGCTCGGGATGGCCGTGCACAGTACAGCCATCCCGATCAGTGTGCTTACAGTGAAGAACACCCCCCCCCCCCTAGTAAAACACTCCAGCACACAGTTAACCCTTTGATCACCCTAACATTAACCCCTTCCTGCCCAGTGCCATTAGTACAGAGACAGTGTTTTTTTTTTTTTTTAGCACTGATCACTGTATTGGTGTCACTGGGGTGTCAGTGACACCAAGTTAGTTCCCCCCCAGTGTCAGAATGTCCCACTAAAAGTCGCTGATTGCCGCCATTACTAGAAGGAAAAAAAAATCCTATTATCTATACCACCATTTGTAAACGCTATAACTTTCATGTAAACTAATTCATTTACACGTATTGGGATTTTTTTTTTAGCAAAGACATTTCACAGAATACATTTTGCCCTAAATTTATGACAAAATTTGATTTATTAATTTTTTTACTGGACGTTTAATAGCAAAAAGTCCAAAATATTGTTTTTTTTTCTCAAAATTGTCAGTCATTTTTTGTTTATAGCGCAAAAAATAAAAAAAGGACATACATTTCATTTGGGTGCAGAGTTGCATGACTGCACAATTGTCAGTTAAAGTAACGCAGCGCCGTAACGCAAAAAATGGCCTGGTCAGGAAGGGGGGTAAATCCTCAGGAGGGCAAGTGGTTAAAGTTTCACTTTAAATGGACACTAAATTCGGGTTTCAAAAAAATCTACACCATATTGCCAAAAGTATTGGGACGCTTGCCTTTACACATGAACATAAACTTTAATGACATCCAAGTCTTAGTTCATAGGGTTCAATATTGAGTTGGCCCACCCTTTGCAGCTATAACAGCTTCATCTCTTCTGGGAAGGCTGTCCACAAGGTTTAGGAGTGTGTCTATGGGAATGTTTGACCATTCTTCCAGAAGCACATTTGTGAGGTCAGGCACTGATGTCGACGAGAAGTCTCCGCTCTAATTCATCCCAAAGGTGTTCTATCGGGTTGAGGGACAGGCCAGTCAAGTTCCTCCACCCCAAACTCACTCATCCATGTCTTTATGGACCTTGCTTTGTGCACTGGTGCGCAGCCATGTTGGAACAGGAAGGGACCATCCCCAAACTGTTCCACAAAGTTGGGAGCATGAAATTGTCCAAAATGTCTTGGTATGCTGACACCTTAAGAGTTCCCTTCACTGGAACTAAGGGGCCAAGCCCAACCCCACACCATAATCCCCCTCAACCAAACTTTACACTTGGCACAATGCGGTCAGGCAAGTACTGTTCTCCTGGCAACCGCCAAACCCAGACATGTCCATCGATTGCCAGACAGAGAAGCGTGATTGGTCACTCCAGAAAATACGTCTCCATTGCTCTAGAGTACAGTGGCGGCGCGTTTTACACCACTGCATCCAACGTTTTGCATTGCACTTGGTGATGTAAGGCTTGGATGCAGCTGCTCAGCCATGGAAACCCATTCCATGAAGCTCTCTATGTACTGTTGTTGTGCTCATCTGAAGGCCACATGAAGTTTAGAGGTCTTTAGCTATTGACTCTGCAGATAGTGGGCGACTTCTGTGCAATGTGTGCTTCAGCATGCACTGACACCCGCTCTGTCATTTTATGTGGCCTACCACTTCGTGGCTGAGTTGCTGTTGTTCCCAGTTGCTTCCACTTTATTATAATCCCACTAACAGTTGACCGTGGAATATTTAGTAGCAAGGAAATGTCACGGATGGACTTATTGCACAGGTGACAACCTATCACAGTACCACGCTTGAATTCACTGAGCTCCTGAGAGCGACCCATTCTTTCACAAATGTTTGTAGAAGCAGTCTGCTTGCCTAGGTGCTTGATTTTATACACATGTGGCCATGGAGGTGATAAAACACCTGAATCCAATGATTTGGAGGGGTGTCCCAATACTTTGGGCAATATAGTGTATATTCCAAAAGTGATATTAAACCCCAAAACAAAATGGAATATATACAATATGCAGCTTACCAATCCTTAAAGCAGAATTAAAATTTTATACTGAAAAACTGGAATCAGGCAGGCAGGCTGTTTACTGCAGAAGAGACATGCAATGTGTTTTCTGCCATAACATAAACCTACCTACCTGTTCACAGTCTTCTTTAGAATGTACTACGCTGCATGTGCAGGTCCTGTGTGCCACGATGACTGATTCTTGTCCATGCATAGGAGTGACGTCATCCTGCAGTGGCCAATTAAGGCCGTTTGCATTCGGAAGAAGATGGGTAGAATATGCTTGAGCTGGCGAGGGACCTTGGACTATTGAAGGAGAGGTAAGTATTGCATGTTTTGTTCCGCTTTCCCATCCTTCAATAAGCACCAGGAGGTAAATGAATCACCCAGCAATTCAAAGTAAAGAAAGACACGGGACAACGTGGGGCAATCTGCGTGTAACGGGGATCCATAACCTTCATGACTTCACAAACTCCACTCCTTCAGGGCTTTGCTTTCACTTCCAACTGAACAGATTGGCTGGAGAGCAAAAACAAGGAAAGTATAGATGTCTGTGGAGGTTTGCATTATGGTGAACCTGTTGCTTTATCCGGTGTGGGCAGATTAACTGCTCTGTCACCCAAACAGAGTGAAGGGAACCATCTTGTGCACTGACCTAATACACAGTTTATTAGCATAAAATTAGGAATGTGCTGCAAGCCACAATGAAAATGCTGGTCTCTGGGAAATTCACAGGCTGTATTTTATTCAATATTAGAGCATCCTAAAAGCTGTGGTTTCCATGGGGCTAAGAAATGTACAGTTATGGATAGGGACCCATCCATCTTTCAAGATATAAACCACCTGTGTCTTTGTCTGGTTCTCTTCCCTGACAAACACCCACCAAGTTATCACTGACCATTTGTGCAAACTTTCAGGAGTATAAAATATATATGCACCCCCAACCCCGATGTGTGCCAACAATCAGTCTGGCCTTTAATACTGGTTTGTGATCATACAGAAAAATAAACCTGCGCTAGATAAAAAATTATCTAGGGCAGGTTTATTTTTTCTGCTATAAACAAAAAAAGAGCAAAAAATGTGGAAAAAAAAAAAGTTATTAACCGTTTTTATGATGAAATTTTGCAAACAGGTAATTTTTCTCCTTCACGGATATACGTTGATGAGGCTGCACTGATAGGCAGCACTGTTGAGGTGGCACGGATAGGCAGCACTGATAGGCGGAACTGATGATGCTGCACTGATATGCAACAATGATGGGCACTGATAGGCACTGACTGACGCCACAGGTTGGTAGCACTACTAGGCACTGATGGAAAAAGGTGGGTGGCACTGCTGGGCAAAGGTTGGTGGCAATACTAGGCACTGATGGGCACAGGTGGGTGGCACTGCTGGGCGGCACTGCTGGGTACTGATGGGTGGCACTGATCATCAGTGTGCCAATCCGTCCTCTGACAATTGCCGGGTATCGGCAGTAGTTTCCTCATGCTGTGACAGCGTAGGACACAGCGATCACGGAGATTGCGAGGTGCGCGCGGGTGGGCGTGTTCTGGGAGGACGTCATATGACGCCTTCCCAGGAATGGACAACCGCGCTGTAGCCATCAATCGGCTATAGTACGGTTGGCAAGTGGTTAAGGCCAGTGGCAGTATACAATGCCTCAGGTTTGGTCAGTGGGAGTAAAAAAAATACATAGCACCCCTGTGGCTAGGAGGAGGAAGAATAGTGTCCCATCATTGGTATTGGTGAGAGGACTAATGCCCCCCATGGCTGGTGTCAGTGAAAGGAATAGTCCCCCATCATTGAAATTAGAAGGAGTTATGCTCTGTAAAGCTGCATTCACACTTGAGCATTTTGTACATTGAAGCTCCAAAAAAACTTAAAAAATCAATTGTTCTCTACGGTGCCTGTTCGCGCGATCAGGTGTGCACAGGCACCGGTCAGAGGGAGGAATAGAGGCCCAAGGACCAGATAAAGGCAAGCAAAAGGCTGGATCTGACCCGTGGGCTGCACGGAGACCACTGGTCTAGGGAGTAGTGTTGGACAAATTGGAAAGATCCTAAATGTGTTCAACAATTCACAGGATAAACTAATATTTGAGCAGATAAAGACTTAACAACTGGGACTTCTGACCTGCCCAACTGACTGTAGGTTGGGCGATAAGGACACATATTCACTCAACGTCATGAAGCAACTGGAAATTGCAGGATTCTCTCAATTAAGCCTTCCTAAATGTAGCCCATTGGAATTATGCACCACAATCCTCTTGCAGCGGTTTAACACTGACACTGTTATTTCCCCACCCCCCACCGATAACTGGCCCTACAGCCACTGCTTATTTTCAGCCAAGAGCAAAATGGAAGTTGATCCTAATCAAAGAATCTGTCATTCAATAACATTTTGTTGGGGTGGTTACTGCACTTGCTATTGAGTCACAGAACAAATCCAAAACACTTGCAGTCAGGACACCGGTACGCCACGATCCAAACACATCAATCAACAAACTTACCTTGAACACATCCTAGTTGTGGTCCAGCGTGAACAGCACCAGCAAGTCAGACTTTCCCTTGGACAGATTCTTGGGGACGACAATTGCTCCAGAGAACTTTCTCTTTACAGTCATTCAGTTTGCACTTTGACAACAAAAATAAACATATCAGTTATTTGGAAGAGCATCAACCCCAGCACTGCCCACATATTCTACCATGGACAGGAATACAATCAGTTTGATTTGTAATTCTGAACACTTGACTTCTTATGAGCAGCTCTCATATTTCCGTTGTCTTTAGGGTGCATTTATTTTACATTACAATTTAAAGGAGGATTGAAGTCTACACTCAGAAACCTGCAAGTTTAACCACCTATCTACCGGGCACTTATACCCCCTTTGTGCCCCGGCCAATTTTCAGCGCTGTCTCACATTGAATGACAATTGCACAGTCATGCAACATTGTACACATATGACATTTTTATAATTTTTTTCACACACAGAGAGCTTTTTTTTGTGGTATTTAATCGCAGTTGGGTGTTTTATTTTTTGCACTATAAACAAAAAAAGAGCAACATATGCAGCAAAAAACTGATGGGCACTGATAGTGCGGCGAGGCTGATGATAGGCGCACGGGCACAACCAGCCCTGACTGCCGAAGCTGAATGGGTGGCATTGATGGACGGTACAGCCCTGATGGGGGCCCTGCTGGCGACACTACTGAAGGGCACTGATCATCAGTGCCCTGGTGATCTGTGCCGATCTCCTCCGTGACAGCTGCCAGTTATCGGCAGTACTTTCTTCACGCTGTGACAGTGTGAGGAAAATGCTGCCAATAACTGGCAACTGTATTTACACCGTGATCTGTTGTGTCATTGAAAAAAACAAACAAACAAACAAGTATACCTGTGCTCAGGTAGCACAGGTATATCTTGTTTGTTGTATTGTGGGTCAGTAGTCAAACCTAAACCTGGTAACTCTCCCCCGCTTTGTCTTTTCTCTACGTTGGCACTGTGTCCACAGTAGCATTTTCATAGGCAGAGCAGAGTAGGACTGGCCATAGAGGGATTACTTTGACACAGTTGGCCAGCTTAAACGTGTATTGCAATATGTGTGAACTAAATATCCATATTTATTGAGAGGGTATATACCAGTATGCAGAGGGCCCTTAAGTATTTCTGTTGTGTCATTGGACGCAGCTGATCACGTGGGAAAAGGTCGCTGTGATTGGCCTTTTACCTCATCACGTGATCAGCTGTGTCCATAGGATACAGCGATCACGGAGATCGCCTGGTGCGCGCCCTGATGGAGTGTGGGGGGGCGCGTTCTGGCAGGACGTCATAAGACACCCTCCCAGAATGGGTAACCACGCTGTAGTCGTCATTTGGCTATAGCACGGTTACCAAGTGCTTAAAGGATAAGCTCACCTTTTGTAAAAAAAAAAAAAAAAATTAAAAATGCACTTTTTTTTTTTTTTTGCAGCCAACAAAAATGTGCATTTATTATTTTTTTACATTACATTCTGTAAAGTATTGCACCTGTGATCAGCAGATTGTGGGTGCAATGCCAGGATCCTGCAGACCCACAATAAGCTGTCTGCCCGTACTCTCATATGGGAGAAAGTTACTACACTGCAGGAAGAATCAATGAACTACAAGAGTGCTCATCAGTGCCCTCTCAGCTCATTGAGAACTACAAGCTGTCAGCCACAATGGCTGGCAATACTTTTAGTTCATTCATTCAAGGAAACTGAATGAATGACGTGGACATGTGGGTGGAGCCCTGAAGGGCCAGAAAATTGCAGCGGGTGAGGGAAGAAGCCCACTGTCATGGAGAGGAGGCTGGTGTCGGAAGGTGGGGAATAGGAGCATGTTAAGTGTTACACCCCAAATATGTGTGTGACATGCTTCAAAAGGTGGTTATATCCTTTAATTTCTAGATTGTTTTTGTTCAACCAAGAGTGGCTCCAGGCAGAAAAGTACAACTGCTGAAAAAAAAAAATCTGGAATACATAGAACAGAGCCATTTTACTTGCCTAAAAGATTCTTTATTTCTGTCTGTCCAGTTCTGAGAATTTCAAAGCTCTGTCACAGTGCACAGCTCTGTCTAGCAGGGCAGTAGACCTGATTTTAATCTGCTGCAGTAACTTACAGTTCTTGTTCCTCCCTCAGTCTGAATGGATAGTGAAAGATGCAGCAGACTGATGAGCTCACACCTGTCAGTCTGCTCTCTCCTCCTAACCGCATGCCCCTTACACGAGTACTGCAGCAGAGAACTGATTCACTTCTTGTGCTGTGGCTTTTCTCTGGTCAAATCTGGACTCTGCTGTACAGGGATTTTAATAGTCAAATATCAAGTCAAAGTGTAGGTACTTGTATCATTCAATGTAATAATTATTGTAAGCAGTACACGAGCACATAAAACGCTGCATTCTAGTCCATGGTGCGTCATTTTAAATTACTTATTCAG